ATTCAATAGGAAAACATACCTTAATAATCCCAAAGGGAAATTGATTGATTGTTCTTAAGTGCATGGAGAGCTGGGCTTTTAGATCCAAGTTACCTAATTTTCTAACAGTATAAAATGTTAATACCAGACTATAAATGAAACATTGTCAAAACGAGGACTAATACAAACCCAGTACACATTTACGATTTTTCAAAGGAATCTTATTCACCAACTAACTGCACCATACTGGTTGACTGACCTATGATGAGACATTCATCCAGACAGCCAAAGACATGACCCAGGACAATCATCTTTCCTAGGTAAAGGTCCACAGGAAGGCTGGCAATCACTCGACCAAGAAATGTCAGCTCACCATCCTGGCTCTGACTTCCTCCATCCGCTTTTGCAGACAGTGCACCCATCTGAAGAATTAAACACCCAAACAGCATAAAATGTGCACCATAATATGCCATGTTAGAAATGTTTACAAATGCTAAGAGCTCTGATTAATCGTGCAACAAGAATATACATTTCACCTTGCAAAAAAACATTACAGCAATTCCTCAACACACTGGACCATTACTTTTGCCAAATCATCAACAGGCATTTGTACAAACTTCCCTTACACCTGTGCTCTAGTGAAACTCCTGCTTCACTTGCCTCTATGAGTTGGAGCACTGTCCTGACAATATCAGAGAGGTTGGGCGGTGAGAGCGCTTTAGAGAGAAGGGTGAGAGGGTCTCCCATATCCAGCAGCTTGACTTTTAACAGGATGTTTGACAGAGGGGCAAGCTAAAGAAAGAAACAACATGCCGGTTAAAGACAGCTTCTTGAAGCATTTAAAGCAAAAAGGTTTGTCTCTCTCTTACCTGCATCCCAGGAGTCATATATTCTGGGATTTCATTTCTCCAAAAATGTTTGGTCACAAGACGGTAGCAGTAACCTTTTGACACACGGCCGGCCCTACCTGTTTGGAACATATTTAATATGAGAAAACTGTAGTCAGCAGGACTTTGCTTTGCTGAAATATCATCAGTGTCAGCTTTTTGTTTCTGAGGATGTGCTCTCAATGGCATGACCTGACACTGAAGCACTGACACTACTAGTAGCTTTCTGTTTACAGTCCAAAATCTATAATAATATGCTTGTCAAGATGAATTGTTATTTTAAATGGATAGTAGGTTTTAGAAATGTTAAGCCAGTTCTTTGTGAGTCAAACAAAAAAAAAGAACTTTTATTGGCCTTAAATTAGCATGCAATTCACAGCTTTAGTAAGCTTTTTTGAGAAATGTTGTTCATATCTGATCAGCATTTGGTTCCAATATGAAATGCTTAGACCTCCATAACAGAAAAAGTTAACAGACAAAAAAAAAATGGCTTGTAGCGAAAAAAATATCCCCCCAAACCCTTAATTTAAGTTGTGAAAACAATAAAAGGTATGATTTTGCTGCTATGCACATCATTTAGACCAATTGATTATTCTACATATTATTCAACATTCTTTAGAATGTTTTTTTTTTTTTTTTTCGGTCTGTGAAAATATCAATAGGACACACTAGAGAGACTTTGTCTCCTGGCTAACATGGGTGCCCACAAGCTTCCCCCAACAGAGCTGGAGAAGGCGTGTGGGGACGTAGAAGTCTGGGAGTCTGTTACCAGATGCCTGGTAAGCCTCAGGCCGCAGACACACGTGTTTTATAGTTTCAGTACTTTAAGCTCAACCTTCAACAATTGCCTCCTAAAAAACTTTTAGAGAAGACTAATTGATTAATTAAAGAATAATAATCATAAAAAGCCTTTAAAACTCTAGGTGTCTTTTATAACCCTGGTTCTTAAGAGTAGTAAATGAGTGTCTCACAATGGGAATGCCATAGATAGGGCCCTATAAAATCCGTTTTATTTTTTCCCAAATACCGTTTTTTCCATTTTAATTTTTGAAAATTCCGTTTTAATTTTTGCGAATTCAGTTTTTTTACCCTTTACTGTTATTTCAGTCGTAAAAAGAATGTGCTTTTAATGTTGATTAAAATGTACACAAATAAAATAGGAATGACCATAAATTTATTGAGGTATAAAACACATTTACTCAGTACTTTTACTGCATGATGCAACATAACGCTGCACTCCAAGTACTAAAAAAATATTAATGGTTATGAACCAATGGTTATAAATAAAAGTGTTCCATTAGCTTTTTCAAGTAAAAAAATAAAATAGGACCTCTCAATTTCAGAATTATAAAGTATTTCATAAAGAATCATATTTTCCATACAGTACATTAAAGTACATAAAAAACAAGGCAAAATACAGTTTCTCAACTTTTTCGCCGAAAGCGGAGCTGTGGAGAGCCGCTTCGCCATTTTTTCAATGTTTTGATGGGGGAGGGTGAGCGGAAATTACGTAGCGGGAGGGGTTGTGTCGCCCAGATTTGCGTCCCCCGGTGTGCATTTCCCCCGACATACGTTCTTCTCCCACACAAAAACAGAATTTCATGTCAAATGTAGAAATTCCGCGTTTACACTAAATTCCGCGTTAATTTGCCAATTCCGCGATACCGTCCCCGATTCCGTGATCGCGGAAATTATAGGGCCCTACATAGATATGACCTCACAAAAAGTTCCTATTTGAACCTGAACTCTTCAAAATCATGACTGTGAGAGTAGAGGAATTGAAACCACCTTGACAATTTAAAAAAGTCAAACCCAAAACTAAATTTACATCACATTTTTTAAATCACTTTACTGCTGGAAAAAGTGTTATGTTAGTATTTTGTTCCTATTTTCTTAAAATGTTCCATCTTATTTATCCGACATTGTACATTGTTTCTTTAGAGCTTAACACTCTGTAAGTCCTAGATGTGTGCTGAAGATGTTTCACCTTTGCGCTGATTGCAGTTGCTTTTGGATGCCCAGGTCAGACGCAGACACTGATAATTAGTTTCCTTGTCATACACCAGCTGACGGGCTAAGCAGAAGTCAATAACTGGGGGAAGAAGACATAAATTACATTTTACATTTAAACTATAAACTATTCTAAACAAGCTACAATTTGTATTAAAGATAAACAAAAAAAACAACCGTATTTGACGTCCGGCACAGTCACCGAACTCTCAGAAATGTTGGTTGAGAGGATCACCTGACATGGGAAAGATATGAACAGAACATTTAAATACAGGGATTACACTTGATTGGATTTTAAAGATAAAATGGACAGAAATAGCTAGTTCATTCCCTTATCGACAGTAACTACCGCAACAATGACAAAGAAAACCATAACCATATATTATATCAGTTACAAACGTAGCTGATATAATACAGAGGTTCCCAAAATGGGGGTCAGAACCTCCTGAGGGGCCATGAGAGACCAAGTGACAGATCTAAACAGGGCTTTCGTAATCACTGCTATCCGAGGGGTGAAAATATATCACGAAATACATCCATGAGAATGTTCCATGAAGTACATAAATGTACCATAGAAACAGCAGATATATTTATGTAACACATGGTTTAAATGAATATTAAACATACCATTCAAAGTGTTGTACATTATTCTGCAGTTTAAACCATGAGCAAAGAGAACAGTTTAGTTTGAACTGTAAGCCCCTCCCCTAACCTTTTTTGCAAAGCTTTCCACCCCAATAAATAAAAAAAAAAAATAAGCTGAACTTTATTGATCACACAATGGAGAAATTTACTCTCGGCATTTAACCCATACCCTTTTGTCAGCAGTGGGCTGCCACTGTGCAGCATCCGGGTAGCAATCAGGGGTTAAGGGTCTTAATTAGAGACCCAGAGTGGCAGTCTGTGGGAGTGGGTTTCGCACTCACAACCTCAGGATTCCAAGCCCTATGCCCTAACCACTAGGCCAATATACTGATTCCTACCTATGTTTCTTCTGCTGTGACCCTTTTTAGGCTGTTTTGTTGAAAATATAGTAACAGCCACCAGAGGGATT